TGATACCTCCAAATGGGCTTTTGCTTTATATATTTTTCAGTGTATCATCAACCTTCACAAATATAACAGCCAGTAAGGTAATCAACGCGCTAATATTTCTCAACTATAATCTTCTTTTAGAGAATACCAATTATAAAAGTCTTATTGGCTTTGAAATAGTTTTATAAATTATAATGATTAAGAAAAATTAAGCTCCCAACAGACTTAGAAATTTATTATGTATTAGGAAACTTAGTAAACTTAATATGTAAAGCTCCTCTCCTCTCGGTGGCTCAACCACAAGTCCGAGGAGCTTATAGCGTTAAAAATTGGGTTTCGATACTCGCGGTGGGCACAGCACAGATAACCTATTATGTAGCTTTCTAACAATAATAAGTAAAAATCCAAATGTGTCCGCAAAAGTGTCGTGAGTTTATAACTAAGATAAATTACATAGATTACAACAATCCTCTAGCCTTCAAATGTGGCGACATATGTGAAGTTGACAAATTGATTAAAGCAAGTTATAATAAAGAAAAATGAGGTAATGTTAAAGCCGAAGTAAGCTCACACAATTAGGTTATATATTATTAGAAACAAAATAAACATTGTTTGTGGCCTGATATGTACTATTATTATTATGCAATACGTGCAAAATATTATTGTAAAATTTATTATCTCAATTTTGAAATCTCATTATACATTTTTAATTCTTATATTATTAACGTTGGATTAACCATACATCATTGGCGATGTGGAAATTTTTTAAAGAGTTTAAGATGGTGCATATTTTACCTTCAGTATCATTTTGTGTTATTATACTAAATTATTATTTATTCAAAGAGCTATAATGTTCATTATATAACACAATATGCTATCAAAAAGACATATTTTATTTACTGAATTCTATGATTTTATGATGTTATTTATAGTTGCCTGAGACATATGGACGGCTTTTGCTATAGACCTTTGTGTTCATTGATTCGCACCTGCTACAAGACGCCACATTTGGCTTACCACGACTGTGGTACAGTTTCTTGCAGGTCTCCTCCTAGATGGTACTGGTGCCCCGAGTTAATCCATATTTCTATGTTTTTCCAATGCAATGATATAAGCCCTAGGGATATCCCCCTCTCGGACATTTTAAATCTCCGATCAGAACACATTTCATGATTTGAGGGTATGAATATTGTGCGTTAGCAAAGATGTTACACGCCTTTCTAAAAGTGATCAATGTTCGGTAAAATTACACTTCCTACGTCACGCTAAACAATGTCAAAATGTAGATCTAATAAATGCTGCTTTACTGCGACTTTACAATGGATTAGGTAGCATGTAACTTCCTGTTATATAATACTTTATGCAACTATAAAAAATCTAAAAGTTTGTTAAAGTAACGAAACTTTTAATATAGCAGCATAAAAGGTAGAATGTTATTATCGAGCTTTTGTTATGTCTTGTAATATTATAACAGTTAATCTTGTCAGTCTTTAAAAATCAATATATAACGAAGATAACCAAGTTATCTTGCAGTAAAGTAGATTTCTACAACAATGAATTGTTACAAAATATTTTAAAAGAATCCTAACAATGTTCATGGAGAGAATTTTATTATTGCACTCATTTTGTTATTTAGAGTAGATTCATAGATGTATTCTAAATCGCAAATTAGTTTTAACTTCATCTGATGATACTATACAACAATGGCATGTACTTCGTTGCCGAAAGTATAAACGAATGTAATGTACAGGATGTAAAATGTTTCACAGCCTTGACATTCATAACTGCTACTGTTCTGAGAGGAATGATATCAACTAGGATGCAACAGGAGTGTGTTTACTTATTTCTAAAGCTCACCTGGAACGTTGTTGTCTAAACTTTCGAATTAATCTCACGAGATGGTCTCAAAAATTCCTCATTAGCCAATTACTCATAACTCAGTGAAATGGTTTTCTTCACTCCAGATAATGTATGACCAATCGTCAGGATTAGAATACTGACTATTTTTACACTAAACAAGAAGGTACTAAATGTTATTGTGATGGTTATTTCAGCCCTTATCAAGGATTTTATTTATTTATTTGCTTGCAGTTAAGCACAAAGCTACACAAAGAGCTATCTGTGCTTTACCCACCACCGGAATCGAAACCCGGATTCCAGCTTTATAAGTCCACAGAGATACCGCTGTGCCACTGGGGGGGTCACTTATCACTCTTCGTTTCGTTCTAACAGTAGATTTGGCAAATTTAATGAGTAGTACAATAAAAGTCGTTTACGCTGAAAGTTTTTAATACTAGATTGTATTTCTGTGAATCAAAATCGTTATTTAGCGGGTTTTCTCAAGAGAGACGCGCTATACCAATATGGATGAACATCTTGGAATGAGTGTTTTACTGATAATGTATAAAAGTAATTTAACTATTCAATGTAAAACATCTGCTCGAACAATACAGTTGAGTAAGACTATATTATGACAGAACTAGATATGCTAAACCCATTAATTATCCATTCGTAAAACGAGATTTTTGTGCTTTTATTTTTTCATATAAATTTTATATCATTGTACAAAATGAAGATTTGTAATAGCCCAAATTATCCTTCGTTGTTTTCGTCGCTTTTACATAATTGATATGCATAGAGTCTTAGCCAGTCATTTCGGCTCTCTGGGCAAGTTTCACAAACTGCCCCTCACCCTTTTCTTCGTGGTCCGTGTATGTCGGTCTGCCAAGGTTCCATATAGTGTACTGCCTAATCTATTCACGGCACACATCCTTGTAGAACAAATTTGTTATTCATGGTCGCTATTCCATCAAAATGAAGTGTTTTCATAACATAGGATAGTTAATAAATATATTCTAATCAGTGTTCCGCATTTAATTGCAATAAATCTCAGTTTTTACTTTACTTTGTAGCAATGACAGATAGAGTAAACACCCGATAACCCTGTAGAGCATGCTCCCTGTAATGTATGATAGCCGGCAGAATTTTAGGATGTCTCGGAACATTGGATATGCTATTTCTCGAGCCATATTTTTTCCCATTTCTTAAGAACATATATATATATATATATTACGAAAGAAGTATGTAGCTAAATGAGTTGGTAAATACCACAATACTAGAAAATATAGTAAAATTATGATATATGTTATAACTTAAGAACGAGACGACGTAGTTGAAGAATGAAGGCGGGAACATAAGTACCATACCAAACTATATAGAGCAAGATATCATGCTTAATTTGGATGATAACTAAAAATTATAAGTTTTCCTATTTGCCTTCCAGTCTGTAGGAGTTCTGCATAACTTGTTGAAGAACAGACTCAGCGCTCGGACTGCGCTTCCCTTTCGGCTGCGCCATGGGCAACTGCTTCTCCCGCCCTACCCTAGCTACGGATCTGGATATGCATTTTTTTAGATAATGTAGAAATTAATTAATTTCCATTATTGTTAGTAACGTTATAGGTATCTTGTGAAATACGAGTTTAAGATTCAGTACACGATTTGTTTGGCTTCGCTCAGTATTAATTGTATCCCATAGTCTTTAATTCATTCGACAAATCTCTAAACCTCTAATAACAGTGCTACCTAAAATTTATTTATATAGGAGAGCACATTAAAAGAATTACAACCTGATATAATCAACTGGTTATCAAGCTATTCATGAAAGTTTTAGTAATTATTTACTTTACCTGGCTACCAACAGCAGACAAAAGGGCATCAGCAACATTGTTTGTTTGTTTTGAATTTCGTGCAAAGCTACACAAGGGCTATCTGCGC